ATTAAAAATAAAACAATTGTTTTATGTTTTGTTTTCTGCAGCCTTTCACTACTCTGTGGTAGTCTGGGTTGAAGGAAAAGAGACTGGGGTTGTTACAGTACCAAGAAATGTCCCTTAAGAGAATAAAAATCTCTGACCTGAGTAGAGCCTTAACTTTCCAGTTTTGCCAGATCAATCACCTGGTCACAGGGCCAGTCCTAGAAAGACAGGTTCATCTTAAACTATGCCTAAAGAGATGGGCAGAATACCTAGTACAATAATGAGATGATGAACTTTTCTTGCCTGAAATCCCTGTCCTCTAAGGCAGTTGCTTATGGACCAGGCCACAGATGGATAGTTTTCTGTAAGTCTGCCTGCTTTTCTGAAGAAAAGCATAACCTCTCCTTTTTTGCTTTATATGTCTTTTCTAACCACGCTTTCCCTAACACTCTGGGAAAGCCCCAACATTTTGGGCTTCATTAAAGTCCTCCTTCCCACCATGTGGCTGCTAGTTCACATGTCTGTCCTCCATGCCAGCTCTAACTGGGCATGGCTTTAAAGCTGTTTTTCCCCTTCTCTCCTCCATTCTCCTCCTCAAGGAAGCTGCTGAGATTACAGCTTGCCTGCCCTGAGGATTTTTCTTTAAATGCTAATAAAACTGTCTTAATCTTCTGTTTGAGCTCATGCTTAAATTATTTTATTAGTGAGACTAAAAATCCTAACAAAGGGCCCCATTTTCTCCCTGTATCACCTGGTAACCCAGATAACAAAATTTCTAGTAACAGAGGCAGGGAGGCTAGATGAGGCTAGCCTGGTGTCACTGAGGGACCCAGGGAGGATGTGTACCTCTCTTGCATGTATGTAAGAGCACCTGTGCCATGCAATGCTCTCGGAGGTCAGAAGAGGGCATTGGATCCTCTGGAACTGGAGTTCTGGATGGTTGTTAGCCTCCATGTGGGTGCTGGGAATGGAACCCAGATCCTCTGCAAGAGCATTCAATGCTCTTAACTACTGAGCCATCTCTCCAACCCCTGGGATGGGTAATTTTAAATCCAAGTTTCTGGAAAATGGTGACCTCCACATGGGAAATTAGGAAATGATCTGGGAAGAAAGGCAGTAAGCTTATTTTAAGTAGTTTGAATAGGAAGTAGTAAGAAAATGTTCATGAAGAATATCTAGAAGCTGTTCAAAGGCCAGAGTTTATACAGAAAAGAAGTAGGATTAGTGATAACATAATCAGAAGCTTGCAAGGTGATGAAACCATGCGCGGTGCATGTCTGTGCCAAAGGATAATCGTGCAGACCAGGGGCAGACTTCTGAGGAAGCAGTATTAAGAGACCATTCACAGACAGAGACAGGGAAGACAGCTGTGTGCAGAGCTGTAGAGCTGCAGAGGGAAAGGGAGGGGAGAAGGAGAACGAAGATGTAGAGTAGGTGCTGTTTTTGTTGCTAAAGGATCCTTTTGCTGCAGACTTCCTGCCCTCCAGCCTTCCTTCATTCAGAACCTTCTCTCTGCTGGCTTGGCACAATGGCTTGGGAACAGATACTCACCAAAGTTTGCTTGGGTATCAGTTTGTCCTTTAGCTCAAAGACTCACTTCATAAAAGCAAAGACTATCGGGGTCCTGAAGGGGAGTGACCCAGCACGGGACTCAAGGAACACTGAGCACAAGGCTAAACTGTAAGGTAAATGGAGAAGGGGAGAGGGAATGAAAGAGGCCCCTGATGACAGCAGATGGCAACCAGGGGGTTTTGAGAAAGGTACATTCAAGA